CTCATAAGCAGGATCTAGCAGAATGCATCCCCTCCTCCTTTGCCTCCAGGAGAGCTGACCTCCACCTGGGCTAGCATGGAAGTGAAAAAAAAGTACATGGCAGCTGGAGGAAACCTCAGGGAACATTGCCTGTAGCATTGATGGCATAGCTGTAGTGTTGTGAAGGGCTGTGGAGGAGTTGCTTCTATTTTGTTTTAACAGCAATGGAGGGGTTGTAAAGCTTTCATGTAGGGTGTTTAATGATTTAAAAGACAAATCAAAACAACAAGCCCAAAACATCACAGAAAATCAGTTCAACACCACGTGGGTCTGCACTGAGTTGCCCTACATGTTTACTTAAGAGGGTGGAGGAGGAGGAGCTCTTAGTTTTTGCTTTCTGTGTGAAAAGACCATTTGAAAATCTGTGTGAGGTGTGTAGTGTATATACTCACTAGTCAGGAGTACATCTCTAAATCAGAAGCAACATGTGCCAGTTGTATTATTATGGGTAGTATTGGGTTTGTGATGGTCTCATGGTGTAAAGGCAAGATTTCTGTGCTTGAAAGCCTGTTTTTCCTTACTATATCATTTGGTCCAATAAAAGGTATTACGTTTCCCTACAAATAGCTTGTTGCCAGAGCAGTCTAATGGTCTCAAGAATATTTCCCTTGGGTGAGTTAAAAATAAAAATTGATTACTCACAGTTGGTAAAATTTGACTGCTTGACATATAATTAATTTACAATAAATCAATATTAATTGTGATAATAATATAATATTTATAGGACTTGTTTTAAATGTTATTTACTACTTATTTTGGAAAAATTTATAACAATGAAATAATTTTTGGATATACTATGGAAACATTTGTATAATAGCACAAAATAAGGAACAGAAATCCAAATAAGAAAATGCAGGAATATGGAACCCATTTAAATCACAAAATTGCTTTTTATTCAATATACAAATATGCTTGAAAAGTGGGAGGGAAAGAGGCAGTGATGGAGAGATAGAGATAAGTGTCACCTTGGTTTGTCTAATTCAGTATCCCCCGGTGCTGCTGTGTGCTATCATGAAAGGCTGTTTTGGTTTTGGTACATAGGAATTAGAAGAATATTTAATATTCTATTTCCAATGTAAACAAGTGAAGTTGGGTTGTGGAGTGTCAGATGGAGCCCCGAAGTTCAGTGGGTTGCTTTCCCTTGACTGGCGCAGCTGGCAGCCTTGTTTTCCCTGCAGCACGGGTGACAGCTTAGTGCCCCGTTCGTGTTCCCTGCGCGGCGCTTCTCGGCAGCGCTCGCAGCCCCGTGA